CCCCCCCCTCTACCAGATCATGTTGGATCCATTCCTGATTTGAAGAGGATTGCACAAATGTAATTGGCTTTTCGGAGTAAAACACGTGGCAAACTTTGCATGTGATAAACTTGGCATGCAGTGTCGTAATCTTTTAATAACACCCTAACATTCACCCTAACCCCTGCAACAAACGCTGACAAGTTACTCAAACTGACTTTCCATGGAACTATCCCGAAATGATGTTTAGAGATAGGGTTGGGTTATGGTTGGAATTATGGTTCTATTTTAATTTTACAATAATTGAAGTCGTTTTTTGAAAAATGCTTGCAACATTTTCGCTATATTAACACAAGTGCATTCAAGCATATAAAGTCAGATTACAATCTGTGCATGCAGCAAGTTTATGACCAATACCTGACTATTCTTAAGCTGTTGAACGGCAGGCATTTCATCCACAATCAAAGGTTTTTTCAAAGTCTTGCAAACAGCAGCTCTGTACGAGCGAACACTGCCCTTTGCAGCTCGAAATAATGGCCGCAGAATACGTTCGGGCGGGCTGCTTATTCGCGAAGCCATATTCTGTCTTTAAATTCACTTAAAACAAACAAAACTCAGCCGTAAATATAAACAAATCTGTTGTAAACAACGTGCAAATTTAAAGTAAAATGTAAACAAATTTAAAGGTCCCATTCAAGGTACTTCGTGTAAGATCTATTTACAGTAATACAGGGCTTCTCGATCCGTAACCTAAAGTTCAGGCCCTACTCGATCCGTAGATATTTCCTTGAAAACAGGAATTTTGCATAGTTTTCGGGCTTTTTTGAAGTTTTGAGATTGATTTTCAAGATTGTCTTGTGAATTTTACAACTTATATGAATTTTTCTAGTTGATTTTCAAACCTATAAGTACGTGACCTGCCTTTTTCGCGCAGAATTCCCAGAAAAATGAATGAAATTAAATCACTGAGTTGAATGAGGAATTTGTGGGAAAACTAAGGAATGTGAGAGCTCATGCTAAGGAATTCTGCAGCTCTGAAGATATTGAGATTTTTAAGATGTATTTTTTAAAAACTAAATCAAAATATGGCTTATTTTTGCTGGTGTTTTTTCTATTTTTATTCTACTTGTTTAGCGAAGACTTTTTAAATACAGAAGAAGACAACAGAAGTGTTAATTTAAATTTAATAAACTTTGCAAAGGATTTAAAAGTGCCTAAAACCAGCTCTCAAAATATTGATGATAAAGGTGGAACGATTTTATTAATATTCTGGACGACATTCTTTGGTGCAAAACCGCGAATAAAAGATGGCCATCCACGGAAATGGCCATTTTATTACGTGGGAAAGAGATGTCCCGTCAAGTGTGAACTGACAACCGAACAACATAGAATCTCACAAGCCTCTGGGATTGTCTTCCATGCGAGGGATTTCAGTCTAGATGATCTTCCCCCCCGGAAATTCAGAAGTATTCCGTGGATTTTGCAATCTCACGAGAACCCTGTGTATACACCAGTTCTCCGAGATTCTGATGCCATGTCTAAATTTAACTATTACGTGAGCTATCGGTTGGATTCCGATTTCCCTTCGCCCGAGTTTGTGAAACCACGGTTGGACCTGCCAACGCCTTTTGAGAGTAAAACGAGACTGGTTTTGGCCGTGTACAGCAACTGTGAAGGCCTACGGACGCATTACATGGGGGAGCTTAGAAAGCATATCAAAATCGATTTCTACGGAAGCTGTTTGCGGACGCATAAATTTCTAAAACGAACGTCAGATAGTAACGACACAAAATTGCTAACTTTACTGCGTACTTATAAATTCACTTTGGTTTTTCCAAACGCTGATTGCGATTATTACGTCACAGAAAAAATGTACAATGCGTTATCGTCCGGAACGGTCCCAATATGGCTGGGGACAGATAAAATTGACGAGATACTGAAATGGGGAAATTTAAAACAATCTGTGATAAAAGTTAAAGACTTCAGAGAACCAAAAGCGTTGGCCGACCATTTACACTTTCTTGCTAAAAACAAGCAAGAATATAATAAATACTTAAGATGGAAGTACGAGGGTTTTCAGTTCCCGCCCGAGTACTATAATTCGGCAATAGGGCAGTGGTGGGAGGGGTTGCCTGTGTATTGTCGGGTATGTATGAGGATTGCCAAGGACCCCAAGGGGCATCATGGATTACCGACAGAAACGTGTGGGGATACACGTAGTGAAAGGCTAGCAAAATTGATACCATAGTATTAATAAATATTATGTTAATTAATATGCAATGTGCAATATATTTAATAATTTAAGGGGAAAATTACGAGTTTGTAATAATTTGTTGTTGCTGTCGAGTGCTGAAGTGGAGCTCAAATATTAAAGCAAGTAATTTTAAAATAGTAAACAATTTTTGTGGAGATTTTGATACATCCAGTTATTTTGCAGTCAGTGGTTGTACACATCCAGTAATAATTTAGTCAGTGGCGGCTGCCCTTTTCAACTTCGTATATGTTCGTTCATCCGCGGAGCAAACGAAACACAAAATAATTTTTCACTAAAACAAATCATTTTCATCTAAAATACACTTCAGGCATTAGAAAGTTCACCCCCATTTTATATAAATACAAAATGTAAGAACGTTTTGGCCTAATTCTTGAATATAGACAACTTTTAAATTTTACAAGCTATAATTCCGATGCTTTCCGATTGGTAAGACAGCTTGTGACAGATGGAATATTTGTGGTTTTCTTGATGAAAATTTCATCATTCTTGCTGTGGATATTGTAAAACGTGTTTTTGTGAAAATATCGTAAAAGATGGAAGAATATGCCAGGGAACCATGGTAAGTATGTTTCATATAACCATTTAGATGTATTACTACGTTTGTAGACCTTTTTAAAAATTGATTTTGGCACTTGGTAGACTTTTTGCCAAATATGTGTCTTGTTAATTATAACCCATTAATTAAGCTGCACAGCTTCCCCATTGACGAGTAAAATCTTCTGGCGTTAGACAAGTAAAAAAAGATAAATATGCTCAATGGGTTAACACATTAATTTGCAATATGCCCGAATATCTATTCACTGATCTTGTTTTAGGCCGGCGAACAGCGAATTTCGCCAGCGCTAAGAAGACATTTGCCAGCCATTTGCCAGAGGCTGTGTGTAATTCGCCGGTACTCGCAGACATAACAAGCTGAAATTTTTAGGCCTGTCTTGCACTCGGACAATATACCAAATAGACAAAGCTTGCAAGCCTTTGCCCACCACTCAACTCACAGCGCCCTTGAAGCTTAGACCTTCGAACCATTCTTTGCATACTCGCTTCGCTCATCAATTAATAGCCGGAGCCTCAGTAGAGCAAAACAGTACTAGTATTGGCCATCATGATCATCAGCACCCCCCTGAATTTTTTGCACACCCCCCCCCCCAAAGAAAAATGGGTCATTCCAGAAAACATCCATACCACCCCCACAGAGGAAATAGGAAGTTAACCCCCCCTACCCCCTTCGGATGTCCTAATACATTTAATAATAATAATAATAATAATTATATTTATCCAGGATACCCACATCACTTACGTGTTTTTCAGTGGGGTCCTGCATCAGAATTACAATTATTTACAATATTAATTATTGTCAATATTTAAATTGTACAAAAATATACAAATATATACATGCACGTTACAACGATGATAAATAGACCATTAATTTATAATTCATAAAAATGTAATTTAATTTAGTCCGTAAGCATGCAACATGCCTCAAATGGTAGGATTTACTATTATCAGAAACAATTTTTCCTCCCCTCCCCCTCCGGACGGCAGAAATTTCCTCCGTGGGGAGAGTATGGATCTTTTCTGGAACAACCCAATATGAAAATCCACCCTTGAAATTATTATTAGCCAGGACTTCAAACAGATACCTAAAGGGCTGTCTATTGTTTTGTAATGTGGCATATTGCAACTTAACACATTGACAACTAACAAGAGATACAGGCCAATAGTCTGGTTTCAAAAATCCATTAACCATTGAGTGCCGGCATTCACACCTTGATGAGTAAAGGCCCACATTTCCACTCAAGAAAAATTTCCCACGGACAGAAAATTTTCCAAAAACATTGTTAAAAGTTGAAAATTCTAAACTTCAAAATTTTAATGGCAAGTTGGTCGTTAAGGGGGGGAGGGGGTCATGGTCAATGCCGTTAAAATTATTTTTCTTTAATTAATCGGAGCTTGCCGCTAAGGGGGAGGGGGCTGGGACCTTAATGGCCAACTTGCCATTAAGTGTGATGCAACAACCTATTTGTCAACGACCAAATAATGTCATTTTTTCACTCTGATAACTTCAGATTGACTCACTTGACTGCACAATAGTGAAATCTTAGTGAAATCGTATCTATTATCTTTGTAGCCCATATCGTATCGTTGATGACTGCGGAGGTGCATTTGCCATGGGCGCAATAGGTGGGGGAATTTTTTCCTTTGTCAAAGGATGGAGAAATTCACCCTCGGTAAGTTGAACTACCAACTTGAAAACTGTTTAATTAAACTACATTTATCAATTAATTAAGGAGAAAAATATTTTATAGCTTTCTGTTTTAATTATTTTAGGGTCACAGATTGCTCGGCAGTATTTCTGCCGTTAAAACAAGAGCACCAGTTCTGGGAGGTTTGTGTCATTTACTAATTTTGGAAAATATAGGGGGTGGTCGCTTGCCTTTGCATACACACACAAAGACTCTTTAAGATCATGTACTTCTGTTTCAAGACTCTTAAAGATTGTGTACTTTATTTTAGGTAATTTTGGTGTATGGGGAGGTCTGTTCTCTACGTTTGAATGCTGTTTGATGGGCGTCAGACGCAAGGAAGATCCGTGGAACTCGATTGGCAGCGGTGCTCTGACGGGCGCAGTGTTAGCTGCGCGAGGAGGTCCCTCGGCAGCTGTGTCTGCCGCAGCAATTGGCGCCGTACTGCTTGCGTTGATTGAAGGCGTCGGAATAGCAATCACGAGAATGACGGCAGAACAGTTTAAACCAGGTACGATTACCATTAGCATTTCTCTAGCACAAATTTATGTGGATATTATCAAATGTGCTTTGTATCAACTATTATACGCTTACCTAATTACATACTTAGCCTAGATTAATTTATCTTTACAACAATAGGCAATTCCAGTTTTTAGTTTATGCCTGCAGGGGATGATGGGAAGTAAGGTATCATAGTGCTGATTATGCTGAAAAATTTCAATAAAAACTACCGAAACAACCGAAATATTTCAATATTTACAAGTATAAGCTATCACTATGTGTTTACACCATTTTTACTTTTTCAGCATAATCAGCAATGTGATACCTTACTTCCCATCGTCCCCTGCACACATAAACTAAAAGCTGGAATTGCCTATTGTGATATTACTTTCTTAACTGTCTTTATCCTATAACCCACCCTGTCAACTTTCCCTGTGGGAGGAAACCGGGCCCGAGAAAACCCACAAGGCCCTTGGTTGGGAAATTAGTAGTACAGGTCAGGAAAATTACATGAGCTTTTAATTTTTTACCATTTTTTATGGTCAGTGGTTTAATATTTCTTGTTTTTGTTTGATTGTAGTTATGCCTCAACCGCCCGACCCAGCGCAACTCCCCCCTATGCCCGTACCCCAGGGTTTACCCCCTCCTCCACCATCAGAATTTGACCACCAACCACAGTACCACTAAGAGAAGAACACCCCCTCGCCCGTGTATCCCACGTCTCCTTCGAACGTAACTACACTTGGTAGCTTATCTAACTGACTATAAAATCTCAGGTCGGAGCGATATAATTATAGAAATCAATAAGCTGCCTTGCTTCATACAAACCACAGCAGCTTATTGTAGATTAACGAAAAACGACCAGTTGATTACAGTATTTACCTGTAAACGGTCAATGTTCAAATGTATACCAAAAAATGGTCAGTATTGAAATGTATACTGTACACTACAAAAAATGTTGACTCAAAAATTTGAGTAAAATTATGCCATAAAATAATTGCTCAAATGTATAAGTAAATTTGCTTAGTATGTTTTAGTGGTGTAGTTTTTTTGACACGAAACGTCAATTTTCATATATTGCATTATTTGACAGCCGAGGTTTGGCATATATACTGTAGAGGATTTACACAGCGGCGCGAAGATATGACTTTTATCTTCGAATGGTGAAAACAATATTGTTTTTAACACAAGAAGATAAAAGTCATATCTTCAAGCCAACGTGTAATGTTCTGTTTATTATATAGTCCCAAGCAAAAAATTGTATAAATACTAAAAGTCACGTGATCGATATCTTCACTAGTGAAGATATGGAAAATATCTCATTGTGTATTTTTCAATATCTCACTCTCTACTATATTATAAATAGAAAATAATGGCCAATAATCAATATAAGCTGCAATGGTTTGGGTCTGATCTACTTGAAAAGGAGTGATGATGACTGAACCCTCTTTAAAAAAGGCGTTCGTTCTTGTGTTTTAACTTAAATATTTAATTTGCACATAGTTCAGACACAAACCACAACGAACTATTTATCTTACTGAGAAAGAAACTTTAACTCAATTCCTAAATTTCAAGGCACAATAAATATATTGTATCAAACGCGTGAAGTGCAAAAAACATCTTTCAAGTTCATCTTTATTCTTATCACAACCCGCACACAAGAAAACCTATATATATTTATACATGAGGTTGTGGTTATAGCTCGACAACAGCCCTCAGTAGCTCAGTTGGTTAGAGCGCTGCAACGGAATCACAGGGACGCAGATTCGATTCCTGCCAGAGGGGCTAGTAAAAACCCAACCGTTTCTCGTCCCCAAGCAAAGCGGAAAAGTCGAATACGAGCGCGAAAAGGTTGTTGAGAATCGCTAAAAAAATAATGAAATTTTTTAGCGATTCCCAGCAAACCTTTCGCAAGCTCGTATTCGACTTTTTCCGCTTTGCTCGGGGACAACCTTAATTGAAATAGCTGTATAATATGCTCACTCAGCCTAGTCCCAGTCGTTCTGAAGCAAGCGCGAGAAAAAAGTGGATGTAGTACGAGACTGGGACCTAGGTGTGACGTCACCGCTCAAGGTGCTTCAGAACGCCTAGCAGATTTCAGTATTTTTAATATGGCGGAAAATTTATATATACAAGTAACCTTTTAATTATAAATAGGACAATGTTCGTTCATCATGTACATGTTCGATGTCTACATAACCAAATCAAACTGTATTAAAAATGTGCTCAACTAAAAAAAATTATATACAAATTTACGAGACCGAGTTTGAGCAATCGTTGATGTTATTTATGTAGTCGCAAGTTGTGATCAACACTAGACCATACTGGTATACACAACTACGCTTTCTACTTGACAGGTTTAAATTGCTGAGGAGATTGGAAATATTTGCCTGACATGACGGTGTTGTCAAAACATTCTTAGTCGGAGACTCGGCATAATTTTCAAGATTCTAGATAGCATTTAATATGGCTATATATTTTAGTAAACACGAGTCATATTTAGCCCGTTATTCCATTCTGACCGCATGGCCGCGAAACGTATCCTACTTCATTGTTCCGACAGCATTAGAGCAAAACTAATGACTTAATTATAAATGCAAAGGAAATTTCCATAACATTTTCCATTTACAAAAGAGGTATGCTTGGTAACCAGGCCAGGGACCACTTTTTTGAAATCAGGGACCATTTTACCGAAATCTGCTAGGCTCTCTCGCTGAAGCGTTCAACTTTTAAGGCATAAAACTTTTAAGACTTATTTAAATATATCAAAGCAGCGAATAGAGAGAGCCTGGGACTAGGCTGATGCTCACTTAGATTTTCCACCAAACCCAGTGTTCAAGTTCAATCAAGCAAAGTGCAAAAAACATCTTTCGACTTTATATACTGCACATTTATACGTTGTGTATCCGTGTATATACAGTTCCATTTATATGATACATATTTTATATACAGTTAAACCTGCGAGATTCCCAGACTTGGAACCTACGAAAACATCGTTTCGTCCTAAATCAAAAGCTCAGCAGGCATGCATCTGGAATGTTCATGAAAAAGTTTCGAATCTCGTTTATGGGTTATTATTATTGTTGTTTGTCAACAAATCGTCAATAGTCTGGCCAGCGTCGAGTCTCTTCTCCATTTCAACCAACAATTTGACGCCGCTGATCACAATCTGACATTGTTCCACCTCCGAGGTACCGATCCTGTCCAGATTCGATATGTCGAACACGCCGTCCGTGCTCTCGGTGTCCACACCCCCCGTCCCGCGCCGTTGTAGACGCAGCGTCGACAAAATGAGGTCGAAACGAGAATCTTTGCAGAGATGTGCGAGTTTGACGTGTACACCCGCTCGCAGGCCCGTCCCTAAATTTGACGGGCACGTGAGGATGAAGCCCAAATGTTGATTCCACATAAAACCGTAGCCTTGCGACTTTATAGCGAGCTCGACCTTGTTTAAACCGTCGCAGAAACGAGTGAACACCTATAGAACAAACGAGAGACCGGTGAAAATTTTAATTGGCAATAATACAATTTATTATATGGCTTTTCAAAAATTCTCTATTCTACAAGCGGTCCGTAAAAACCCATATCCGGACCGTGGTCCGTATTTTCCGTGTCTGGACCGGTGTCCCGGATGTCGTTTATCTGGCGGGAAATTTTTGCTTTGCAAAGAGAAAAAAATTTTGCTTTTTAAATTTCCAATTGTGCTTTACAGATAAAAATTTCAAACAACCAAATTGTTTTTGATTGAGCATGCATGCCTACCGTATATTGTTACCCAGTGAAACTGACGATAGCCGATTTAATTCGCGCGAAAAGCATATGCTCACAGACTCAGTTCAGCCATATAATAAACCGATTATTGACCTCGCTTGTTCGGTCTGTACTGTGAAATATCAGACCTCTGTATTTTTGCATGGACCTCGCTCGGTCCATACTTAAAAATCCTCCGTCTGATATATTTCACAGAAAAGACCTCACGCTTGGTCAATGACCCTTTAATACTCTGACCATTTTGGTAGCCAATTTCAGTGTTAAAGCGTTTGCGCTCAAGTTTATTGCTAATATGCCCAATATTTGAGTGAGTCGCGCTTTGGAAATGACAATGGATTTTATTATCCAATCCTAGAGTTGTTTTGTTTTTCATTTAACCAACATTTTACTCACTCAAAATTTTGTTTACCCAACCCTTTTCTCTTCGTGCCAACTCCCCACCATAAAAAATGAATTTCCATATGACATGGAATTTATTATTTTCTTAAATGAAAGAACTCTTTAAGTTGTAGTGTAACTTATTTTTCAGTTTCTTGTTTTTATGGTTTGTTCCCGAGATATTTCAATTTGTTTGATATGTAAATGAGTGTGAATATGTCCGCTAATTTATGACGTCACGTTGTTTGCAAGCTCTTCGAAATGGTTGAATATCACTGCTATCATCCAAGATGATAATTTCAAACTTCACTCACTGGTAAATCTGATGAAACACTGGAGAAAAACGTGAACTGATATCAACAGTTTTTAGAGTTAATACATTTATAACCAGTGTAAGTTGAGCTTGCAACCAACATGACGTCATAAATTAGCCGACATATTCACACTCATTTACATATCAAACAAATTGAAATATCTCCGGAACAAACCATAAAAACAAGAAACTGAAAAATAAGTTACACTACAACTTAAAGAGTTCTTTCATTTAAGAAAATAAGAAATTTCATGTCCTATACACTTTAAAGGCTCTCATGGCTGTAAACGTTTTGTAAAAGACCTCAGTTAGTTAAAGTTAAGTGCGTCTTCGTCCATTGTGTCCGCTATCGAACGAGGACCTAAATTTGGTTACTCAAAATTTACCTCTCTCATGTTGCCTCCTTTCTGCATAGAAATTACGCGAAGGTGATCCTCTTCGTTCACCCAAACAAGGAAGTTCTTCGCATCGTTGTGCCAGATTCCTGTTGGGCGACATAAAGAATTGAGCAATTGTGGCTTGTTTCAATTATACCTACAGTAGCTATTACACACACAAAACTCTCACATCTTGTAGCAAGTCTGCCAACAAGCCGTCAACAAGTTGTGTTCGCACTGCTTGTCCCAAGTTGTTCCAACAAGTCCGATACAATCAACTACAGTAACATTTTTGTTATATCATGACTATATTAGACTTGTTAGACTTGTGAGAATAACCTTGTAACTAGTCTGATAGTGCCATCAAGTTTGTTACAAGTTGTTAACAGCTTGTAACAAGCTTGTTGATATTATCAGACTTGCTGCAAGGTTGTTTCAACAAGTCCGATATAACATGATATAACAATATTGTTACAACCTTGTGTCGTCAACCTTGTAACATTCTTGTTATATCATGACTGTATCAGACTTGTTAGAACAACCTTGTAACAAATCCGATAATGCATCAAGCTTGTTACAAGTTGTTAACAGCTTGTTCCAAACTTGTTGAAACAACTTGTAAACACACGTAAAAATCTCACAACTTGTCAACAAGATGTGTTTGCAACAGGCTTGTAGCAAGCTTGTCAACATGCAGGTTGTGGCAATGCTGTTATTTTATCAAGTTGCTACAAGCTTGTCACTCACAACTTGTTGACAAGTTGTTGGATCGACTTGTAACAAGTCTGTTGAGTTCAACAACTTTGTAGCAAGTTGCAACAAGCCGTTGACAACTTGTCACCAAGCTGGGAACAAGCAGTGCGAACACATCCTATTGACAAGTTGTTGGAACAGCATTGCTACAAGTCTGCTGCAAGTTTGTTACAACCATGAACTTCTCGATTTTAAAATGTCGTACCTCTTGCGTCGGGCCAGTCACGTGCCATGCGTGCGGCCAATAGGAGTGGAGAAACGGGTTTGTCAAACAGGAAGTGATCGGCGATCAACTGATCCTGATCGTTCTCGGTCATTTTGGACAGCGGATAGTACACGCCCTTCAGAGGGCCATCCAAAGTCGCGAGCGCCTTGGCCGAGATTTTCTCCACTTCCCGGCGTTCAGCGCGGGTGCAGTGAGGAGGCAGACTCAGTCCTTTTATCGACCGTCCTGTTCTTACGCGGCACGAGAATACGTAATTAGGGTCCAGATCTTCTCCGCCAATGAGATTGTTCGGATCCAGGTCCGTTCTATGCAAGTCTGTTTTTGTATAACCTGAAACATACGATGAAATATTTTCAATCGTTTTACTTAAATTGTTTAAGTTAGGCAGTTTTCATTCCGGCGGGTGGGGGGGGCATTCCGGTTTGACGTCGTCCCAGACTCGTGTAAACGGGGCCTAATAGATAACAATAGAGACCTTACGATTTTAGGACCGCGACGGCAACGGCTACCAATACAATAGATCATGGAAAAGAAGTGAGTAATTACAATATATGAATAATTTAGTCATTGTCCTCGCTCTGTTTACAACGCCAAATCACAGATTTTCACGTCTTCATACAACGGCTGCATTCCAAGCCACAACAAGTGCAACTTCAAACTGGGTTTAGCAGAACTCTTCCCAACCATAAAACCCATGTCTTCAACTTCTAAAACAATGCAACGAACTATCTTTACTCCCATTTATTTGAAGGAGTTTGGTTTGGCCGTCCTAAAATCGTAAGGTCTCTAATATAGCTTGTGGAACGTCTCGATGAGAACATTCG